ACTCGGCCAACGAGCCTACCAAGGCCGCGTGTGCAGACGCTGCCTGGCCTGACCGTAGGCACGGACTGCTGGACGCAAACTGTACGTGAACATGAGCTGGCATGCACGCTGGCGGCCACTAGGCACGACCTGCGTGACTAACGTGCATTGGTGCATCGTACACACTACGCCGGGTGCTAGCGTGCATGCTGCATGCACTGGTCATGACCATCGGGTGCTTGCTGTGCACTGCCGACGGTTAACTGAACGCTGATCTACTGACTGGCGTTGCGCGGGCGCTACTAGGCATCACCCGCTGCGCTGGCTACTCGTGCAGCTCACTTGGACGCTGCCGAGGCCATTGCCACGTGATACTGCACGCTGGCATGCGTTACCGCACGCTGGCGTGCATAACTGGGTGTTGGCGCGCGCACGCGCATCGCCAACAGTCACCTGTTGCGGGTACTGGCCCTACGCGGCGCTATACCACGCATCACCCACGCACCCGCACACCCTCTGGTACGCTGTGGCCGCTATGTGCGGACAGCACAAGTACGGCCGACCCTCGTCGGCCGTCCGGTGACTTCTTCCGGCAACTCAAATATGAATAGACATAACTTATCATGACATGATATTATACGCTAAACTTGCTAAAATAACATGAACTTTACTTGATGAACTAACAAGGTATCGAGGCGTGCACCCCGTGTGCACATGTTCGGCGTTAAGCCAAACCCCCAAGTAAACCTGAACTTTTATCGAACAGCCTCAAGGAATTGATCATTATATACTATTTAAAGCTTATTGAGACTAGGGTTATTCGAACAATTCCGTTCATAACACAAGATACACGAAATGGCATTCAATCGGCCCGTAGGCATGAACTTCGTGTATAGTTCACTTTCTTGAGCCAATTCACGAACCAATCTTCAACTTATCTCGACTAACATGAAATAACTGAACTAACCCGGACTCGGAATTCAACTGAAAATTTAATACTTAAACATATGAAGGTTGAATTTACATAAATTGCTCGGAGACTCTAAATGATATTACCGAGGGCAAAATGAGACTAAACATGATCTTAGATGCATGATTTGAACTTAACTTATTAATGAAGATCATATAAACATTAAGAGAGGGTTACAAAAATTTATACCTTTTCAATTGCTTGGACAAAAAATACATGACTTGCGATCATTCGGGCCGTTCGGTAGCGTTCATGGCTTCTCTCGGCAATAGCTAATTTTTACACTACTTACTCTTCCTTACTATAAACTCACGATTATTTCTATCTCAAAATAATGATAACCTAACACTTGGGGATTGAACAATTATGCTCAACTATTTTACTCACTCTCGGTAAAATTAAAGAATTAGTGCACCAAGGAAAGAGTTTAATGTCAATATCTGTAAAACCCCTCTCTCCACCAACGCTAGACATATAAATATAAATTGAAGGAGTTTGGGAAGCATAAGATGGAAGTTTAAATAAACACGTGGCCTTAAATTGAGCTTTGGTGGCATGCATGGTGTTTGGTCATAGCATGAGGTGTTGAACTCTCATAACTTACTTAAACTTAACTTATGCATGATATAAAACGTGCGTGCATGCACGAGACTTTGCTCCTTAGTGCAAAATTCGAAAGTTAAAGCTTAATTAAGCATGATTAATCTCATAATTAATCCTCATTAATGTTAATTAATCTTAATTAACATTAAGCTAATCATGATTTTCTTAAGCTAATCTCGATTAATTAACTTAAACATGATTAAGTTAATTAAGCATGGGCTAATGACCATTACTTAATTAACAATGGACGGTGTACCAATGTGAACGCGTCACAGTATAGGTATACCGAACTTGACATGAGGAGCTCTACTGGATTAACTATCGGAATATTATTCCGAACATGAACCTGACATTCGAAAGTTAATTCGAATATTCTTGACTTAGATGATTAATCCGAACATAAATATTTCGAATAGTTCGTCAACTTGACTTATTAATTCCGGACTCATTAACTAATTAAATGAATCGGAATTAAATCTGAAAACCTATTCGGTTATCAACCGAATAACATATCGACTAATAGTCGAACTTGGAATATAACTAGCTGAATCACTTGAACTTGAACATGGACATGATTATTTACTAACAAAGGCTAGCTTTAATATTAAAAGCTAGCATTTTCCTTTATTAATAAAACCTGGGGTGTTACACACGCTATTGTTGATGGAATGCAACATTCTTATCTAATAAGCATACATACTATGTGCAA